ACAGGGAAACCAGAGTAAAACGAAGAACCCAACATATATATTTTTGGGGGGTTTGTTTTGGTTAGTGTTTAACGGCGCTCGCGGCTGCATAAGGTCATATTATGAGGGCGCGGAACACAGAAAAACATGTTTTAGTTTAGTTGGAACCACAGAATTCTACACTTAGTGTAGAATTCTGTGGTTGGAACTAATTTTGAATTTTGCCCTGGTGGCGGCAAACGGGACCTCCCAGCTTTTTCGTCCTTGTCCGAGATGGCTACGTGTTAGATCTTACCTATCCTCCGAGATGGCTACTTGTTTGATCTTACCTTTGCTAAAATCACGCGTGTGACTGAAGCACAGTAGTAAGAAGGAACCAAGTAGTAGAGGAGGGGGCAAAGGGGTGATGGTGAGGGCAGAAAGTGGAGACAAAAGCGGGCGACAGAATATGATTAGAGAACAGGAAGGGACAGAATATGATTAGAGAACAGGAAGGGAGGTAAAGGAAAATTAAAGAAGACAATTTTCCGTTGCTGTCAGGTTTCGAACCCGGGACCCCCAGACCACGAGAGAACTGAACAAAGATTACCCCCACATACGAGAAACGTTCTCCCAATTCTTCACCAAATTAACCTGTCTTCACCAAATTAACCTGACGTGGTTTGATGTTTAAACTTTAGAAAACTTTGTTTTAAATGGTCAATTTTCAATCTGTGCGTTGTGTATCGGGCGTCAAAGTTTCTACTTCTGCACACTGCACTGTCACTCTATACACTTGGTTTTCTTTGTTTGTTTGCTTATTTGTTTATTTGTTTGTTTGGTTGGTTGGTTGGTTTTTGTAATTTTTTTTTGCCGCGCTCGCAACTGCATAAGGTCATATGAGCGTGCTGGACTCATTAAGCATTTTCGGTTGGTTGGAAATTTTGAATTTTGCCCGGGTAGCGACCCAAGACTACTCTTATCGATTTAAGACCGTGAAGGGATCTTAAACTTGTGCAACTTGCACACGTGACCTCCGAACTTTTTCGCTCTCTTTCCTACCATAAGATCAGGGGTGTGGCTGGAAGACAGCAGTAAGAAGGAGCCAAGGAGTAGCCGTAGAAACGCTGCAGAATGAGTCAGGAGCCCAGAGAAGGCGGCAAAGGAGATGAGGGGGTTGGGGGGGGGGGGGGGGGGGCAGAAAGTCGAAACGAAAGCAGACGACAGAACAATGCTTGAGAGCGGGAACGGAGGTGAAAGGAGGCTGTTTAGAGAATAAAAATCTCCGTCGCCATCCGGATTCGAACAGGCACCGATCCGAGAGCCCCCCCCGCCCTATACTCTATGTTACAGTATGGCAGTTTGGTCGAAAAACACTGTTTATTGAGATATATATATAGATCCCACATACGAACGCCTGTGGACGGACGATGGTAGGCCAGACTAAGAGAGGGCGTAATCATGAACTTGTTGTATTATTTTGAAAACAGATTATATTTGCAACAAAAGACTTCATGGTGATTTTTTAAAACATATTATTTACAATCTCATCTACTTTTACTTGAGATACCCCTCTCAACATTCATGACACAAGCAGTGACATAGAAGTATATTATTATTATGCTAAATTATAAAAAAACAAACAAACCAACAAAAACCTGCGTGTCGGCGTTTAAAAAATATGATTTCTGCTCAAAGACCTCAAGAAATCTTTCTTTTAAAAAAAAAAAAAAAAAATAGAAAATCGACAATTTGGTGTAGAAACCTCAGCCTTATATACATGTAATATGTATCAAAGAGCCACAGGCAGGAGCCGCAATTATCCTTTTCATAGGTATTCAAATTAACGTCATTTCTTTTTCTTTTCATGTGTGTGTTGGTTGGGGGGGGGGGGGGGGGG